CTATCATCTGTATTTTCAGAAGAAATTACTTTGACCTCTGCTCCCAAGAGTGACTGGCAATTCCAGCTTATTTTACACATGGTTCCCGAATCGCCAATTGTGATGGCCGATAAAAACGTTTAGAGATATTTTTATTAAGCTAAAACTGACACTTTATCACGATATGATATACATTACTGAAATATATGGCACGCGGTCTTGACCGTAGCTAATCGTGGGCAAATCGTCAATTCAGTTGCAGCAGGCAAAGTTTACTCGGGGTTTAATGATTGTTGGTATATTGCTTTGTAGAAGCAAAGAGCTGTTATTGGATGGCAGTATACAGTCTAATCATTTAACCATATGAAAAGAATTCGGGAAAATAGAAATGAAATTTATGTCATTTTTTTTCTTTTTAAATACCGACAGTATTCTACCATCCAGAAGCAATTCAATATTAATATTTGCATTCAGATATAATTTTCGTCATCTAATGCATAACAGATACATTCAAATTGCAAGTTTAAACATGTTCAGATCAAAGAATAGCCGAAATAGTAAAGCTCATCATGCTATCGTTAACAATAATTGAATGAAATAGATAACAAAGGATAACAATTCTGACTTGATTCTTTAAGTGTATCATAAAAATCCTTAACAATGTAATTTTTTTCGCTTTGATATGTAACTTAGATATGACGTAATCACGAAACGAAGTACCTAGGGTTTCCTCTGGAATATTTACATCACGAGGTATGTTATGATTTTCAAAATAGAATTACAATTGAAGTTATAAATAGTTGCCTGTCCATTGGTGACAACGAGCACAAAAACATTTTATTTGTAGTTTATGAAACGTATGGAATGCCAGATCAACGGCCAACATACGACGTTGACAAACTTTTATAATCTCGAATGTTATGGCAATAAGACGGTAAATTATGAGGTTGACATATTTTTTTCTGCAATGTTCTATCTATGTTCGTTTCTGCTTTGTCCATAATTTTTATTTCTTAAATACATCTGATCGTGAATAAGTCTATTTGTCTATTGCTTTGCCAACAATCTTCATTATATCATAGTATGTATATATTGTCTATCAAATGTCTTGAAAATATAGAAAATGTATAAAAGATAACTTTAAAAAAGATATATATATTCCCTAATATGATCATCATGGCCATACCTTGAACTTCCCCGACATTCTTTATCAACCTGCTTCTCTCGAAATACTGGATTGTGAGTTTACCTTTAAACTGATGTCATTTTGAACCCAAATCGTGAAACTGGTAACAATCTCTTGACTACCGTTTCAAATATGACCTGCAAAAGGAAGAATGTGGGAAACAGATCGTTACTATCTAAAAATGGAAATTTTATTAATAGGTGAATAAAAATTATCACACTTACAAAACGGTTTGACTGAGATTGCGTTGAGGTGAAAAATTGAGCTAAGCAGTTGATGTACAAGAATATGGTGTGTTTTTTTCCAATTCTTGTGGGTATTAGAAATATTATGATAAAACATTTTGTTTTCAATTAAAGACAACATAATTATCTATATACTTGAAAGTGAGATTGAAGGACTTGTTCATGTATTTATGACCGATATTAATATGTTCTTTTAAGTTTTGACTGGTTTCGATGTTTTGTATAAATAGACTGCAGTTAATCTTTCACTCATAATAAACCTAATGAATATGGTCCTCAGCAATGACGCATTCAAAATAATGTTTGAAATTGATCATGAACTGAAAAATGATAATGATTAGGTAACAGTAAATCGTTCGTTATGATCGTTTGCAGTACACAGCAATATAATTGACACCAGGTCCCAGTTGTTCAAAGAATATAGCTAGCCAGTGGTTAAATAGTAAGTTTTATATCACTGGAAATCAAAACTGATCCTAAAAAATTGATCTGTTGCAATATTCTACAGCGGTGTAATTTCAAAGAAATGTTACAGCTTTTTATGATTTATGTTTGATGTTTTCATTACTGCTGGTTATTTCTAACGTCACTTTGAGTAACTGAGGCCGGGATGTCACGAACATATCAATTTGTGAGAGGCCTTGCCGTTGCTTCAATTTTTGCAAGTTCTTTCATAAGATTTTGTTCCCCAGTTGTTTGGTTTTTATGCCTGAAATGATTGCTCATTCAGCTAGGCACCTAAGGTACACCGGGCGGTACTAGCACAATGCCAGATGTGCACGCAAAGAGCGATGCGCCTATGTCTCCTCCAAAACAATTCTTTAGAAGCTGACAGCTCCAAAACACGAAAAGAAGATGATTTACCCGATTGCAGTCTAAAATCGGTTACGAGGGTTGGTCTCAGTGCCGTCTCGGTATTACACAGCATTGGACAAAATACAACCATATTGTATGTACCACTTGCAGTAATTCACAAGGTGATAAGGTGTCCTGCTTCACTAATGAATTCCATTTACATCTTTACCGCTAAAGTTTTCAACACCAGTGCTTAAATTACTTTTTAAAAAAACTAGCCCAACATCATATTTTATTACCGTGCATGTTATAGAATATGTATTATGAACCTGTATGTATATAGGCGTATGAATTTGAATGATGGCCCTGTAATTGTGATTGATAAAAGTGTGTGTGGAGTTTCTTTCAGGCTTTGAAAACATGATAATCTTAAAAGGCACTATCTGCCAGAATACAATCGTCACGTGGTATAATATAAACAAGTAAAAACCAAAAGCCATTGAGTACATTCTTGTACACCAAGGATTTTTTTATTACTCATATAACAGATACTTAGACTGTAGTGTCTTGTTATCAGGCAAACAAATCCTTTGTCCATCTCCAGGAGAGTAAAAATCACTATCCTATTTCCTTAGCTCGATGCTAGAAATATCCTAGTAGTTACCGCTCTGTAAACACGTATAAACTTAATGGTGATTTTCTAATGAATTAGACTGACCAAGTCAGCTGCTAAGTGATATATCTTTATCTCCTTATTGTACAGTTATTGACCCATACATAAAATGTTACGTGGACGCGGTTGATACACCAAGTACAGCGTTGTAGTGATTCTGTCGTCTCTAATAACACGAGCGGGGAATTTTCAAACATGTCTATTAATAAGTAATGAGAACGCTATTGATGTGACAACCATCCACGCAGTATTTAGTCTTCTTGGCTATAATAAACCCATAAAAGTATGGTGACTACTTTATCGGCTGTAAAATTGGAATAATGAATCTTTAAGGTCCAACACCTAAGTTCTTCTGCACTCCAGTGTTAAACATTCAGTAGAAAACACTGTGCTCCTTGGCGGACAAACATAACCATACAAATTTAATACTAGATGGAATGCATATACAAAATAATGCATTGTCTTACTCAGACTAATCGCTGATATCAGGAGACCAAACTATGAAATCTAGAAGCCGATTTGATAAAATCTGTATTGACGTAGAGACCCGATAATTTAACAGATCTTCTAGGTTCAGGATGAGTTATGCACAAGTATTAGTTCATGTAATGCTGGGCGATATCGAAGCTAAATCGTTCAGAAAATTCAACAAGATTACAGCTTTTCGCAGTCATTCAATTTTCCCATTTATTTACTGAATAGATACATATCAGCTTTTACCACCTACTTACATGTCACTGTGCTCAGCAGGATTATCTGTGATGTATGACACAAGGCATAATTTAATATGAAAGTAGTTGTTTTGCTACCTTTGTGTTTTCAGATATTTCTTTACACATGAATTAAAACGGAACACGTACTACGATATCTCGTAGATTTTGTTCTTGTTGACTGCATTTTAATTGACACCATGTTTCCGTTAAAAGCGTCAACAATTTTAACTCAATTTGCTCTAGTATAGATCTTCAAAATACGTGAATCCTGTCTAGGGGGTCACGCTCGAATATAAAAATTTCAGTTCGTTCCTTGATCTTGAAAAAATAATTATGAAAAATCGCAAGAAAAAAAAACAAAAATTAAAAAAAATACTCTTTTTCAACTACCAGCACTTTATCTGCCATATCAGTTCTATTGAACAAAATTTGGAATTGCAGAGCATTGACAAATATTGAATTTAAACCATTACTGAAAATACTCAAAACGTTTTTAGCATTTTAACATTCTCTTCTCATTATCCAAGTGTGTTTTTAAATGCACTTGGATACCAAGAAGAGAACGTAAAAATCTTTATAAACGAGTTTTATCGAAGAAACAGGTTCGTCATTAAATGATGAAGAATGTTTGTAATTAACAAAAAATGAGATAAATTAGGTATGTGAACACGGCTCATCAGTAGAAAAAACTACCTCCTGTCTTTTACACAGCTTTAATTTGAAAATATGTATTTTTCCTATTTGAAAAATTGAATTTCCTCTTTATTCGTCTGTTTTCGTACCGATCCTATATTTGACCTAATTAAAGATCCGCCCTTCTCTATCTAATATCTTAATTGTCAGTGTTTTAGGATGAATATGACATCTTTTGAACTCTATATTATGTTCACTCTCTGTGTAAGTGTCTTAGTTGAGTAGTTCGACAAGGCCAAGAGATCCTAGTTTCGTGATTTTGTGCAATGTAATTAACAAAGTGGAGGAACTGCGGTAGTGTGATTAAAACATTAATGTTGTGGGTGGGAAACTACATCACCTACGGCTACAAATAATATTGATCAATTTACAAATGTTTTACAGCCTGAATAACAATGGTCCTCTGGGCATAGTTTTTCCCCTTGTAATGAAAAGGAACAACTAACGAGGTAATATGCAACATAAAATGAAGAAAAGGAAAAAAATGTACAAGAAATCTGAATAACAACAAAGCGGACATATTTCATATAGTGTCTATATAAACATTGTAAAATAAATAGAATAATCTAGTATTGTATGTTAAGGAATATTTACCAGTTAAAGTATGTTCTTCATAATAAAAAAATAGTAAAGTGAAAATATTGGTAAAGCTTTAGCCTTTTTTAACGATACAAATGATGCTCTAGACTGTTTAAAAGATACCAATAAATCTCCAGATTGTCTTAACGTTACCAGTAAATCTCCACACTATATTAACGACACCAGTAAAGCTCCAGACTATATTAACGACACCAGTAAATCTCCAGACTATATTAACGACACCAGTAAAGCTCCAGACTATATTAACGACACCAGTAAATCTCCAGACTATATTAACGACACCAGTAAATCTCCAGACTATATTAACGACACCAGTAAATCTCCAGACTATATTAACGATACCAGTAAATCTCCAGACTATTGTAACGTTACCAGTAAATCTCCAGACTATATTAACGACACCAGTAAATCTCCAGACTATATTAACGACACCAGTAAATCTCCAGACTATATTAACGACACCAGTAAAGCTCCAGACTATATTAACGACACCAGTAAATCTCCACACTATATTAACGACACCAGTAAATCTCCAGACTATATTAACGACACCAGTAAAGCTCCAGACTATATTAACGACACCATAAACCACTATATAAATCTATATTAACGACACCAGTAAAGCTCCAGACTATATTAACGACACCAGTAAATCTCCAGACTATATTAACGACACCAGTAAATCTCCAGACTATATTAACGACACCAGTAAAGCTCCAGACTATATTAACGACACCAGTAAATCTCCAGACTATATAATCTCCACACTATATTACCAGTAAATCTCCAGACTATATTATTAACGACACCAGTAAATCTCCAGACTATATTAACGACACCAGTAAATCTCCAGACTATATCAACGACACCAGTAAATCTCCAGCCTATTGTAACGTTACCAGTAAATCTCCAGACTATATTAACGACACCAGTAAATCTCCAGACTATATTAACGACACCAGTAAATCTCCAGACTATATTAACGACACCAGTAAATCTCCACACTATATTAACGACACCAGTAAATCTCCAGACTATCTTAACGACACCAGTAAAACTCCAGACTATATTAACGACACCAGTAAATCTCCAGACTATATCAACGACACCAGTAAATTTCCAGCCTATTGTAACGTTACCAGTAAATCTCCAGACTATATTAACGACACCAGTAAATCTCCAGCGTATTGTAACGTTACCAGTAAATCTCCAGACTATTTTAACGACACCAGTAAATCCCCAGACTATATTAACCATATCAGTAAATCTCCAGACTATATTAACGACACCAGTAAATCTCCAGACTATATTAACGACACCAGTAAATCTCCAGACTATATTAACGATACCAGTAAATCTCCAGACTATATTAACGACACCAGTAAATCTCCAGACTATATTAACGACACCAGTAAATCTCCAGACTATATTAACGACACCAGTAAATCTCCAGACTATTTTAACGTTACCAATGAAGCTCCAGACTATTTTAACTATACAATATAAGCTTTAGACTATTTCAACAAATCCAACACTTAACTAGACCACGAATTCATTTAACAACAACTTATTTCAATAAAAAGGATAATAACGCATTGAATTTAGCTGTTTTTCTTTGGGTTTCTATTGAAAAGACAATATTTATTTATAGTAACCTGCAATACATATACCCAAATTAGACGTCAGCACATTTATAATTTACTAGCGAAATAGGATATAGTGATTATGTTAATATGCTTTTGGTAGTTTATACAAAATTTGATGATAAAAATGTAAATAATAACGATAAATAATGTGTTTTTGTACTGTTGAGGTTATTCTATTCTTCAAGTTCGTTCCTACACTGCCTTATGGAAATGTATTAATAGATATTTCCTGTAATAATGCACTTGTTTCGCTTTTATTTCATATCCACTATTCCGTCATTCTCGTCAATATTTTGTATAAATGTTAAATTTTGCTGTAGAATCATATCGAAGAGAGGAGTTATTATAAGCGTTTTCGGTATTTTATTTTAAAAAATATGTCGCGTGAAAAACTATTCGCATTTCATTCGTACAACTTATGAAACTTTTTGGGTGATATAAGCTCTGAACAAATTCAGATATTTGGATGTCACTGATACGCGCAACAAAAAGAAAAAAAGGAGAACAAAAAAATTGGAAAGTGCAGCTGAAAAATAACAGCCATTAGCAAGTCTGCTATTGAGCTGACGTGTCGTCCTATGCATTGCGGAAGGCCTTTGGGTTTTCACGGATGCTTTGGTAGCAAATTCTTGCGCATTTGGAGCACCTTAATTTTATTAGGAACATATCCTTATTACTTTCCATTGTAACAGTGCCATTCACTCTTTGTATTTCTGTCGAGATAAAACTGCCATGAAGTTTTCTCCTAAGATTGAGATGACAGCGATGTGTTTCGAATAAGAAGTATGTTTTCTAGGTTATCTAATACCGATCAAAAGCTGTTTGAATAATACGCTGTCTTTTCTGTCAACATAATTACAACGGAAAATAATTTCTTGTATCATTTTTAGAATGTTTTGGCGTTAAGAAATCAATAGCTAATTGCAACTATAGACAACAGACATAACACATTTACTGTCATCCAGTATTTTAACATCATCATGAATTTAAACCTATATTGTGTTTTTTTAGGTTTTGTACACACAAAAATGATCATTGTAAATGTTAGATATTATCGGCCCAGACACTAACTCCAGTTAAAGGAGTTATGCACCAACTTTATTAGGTCCGTTATCAGGGCCCCCGAAATCGATAACGCACTCACATAGAAAAAGACACAAGATAGTAAAGAGAATATACAAGTATACGCTATAAGGCTTTATCTAGAAGGAACTGCCCCTAGTCAACTATAAAACAGCTCCGACGTGTGTTTATAAAGCCATATACTTCCAAGACATCGTTTAATAGTTTAAATTATACTATAACATATACTGTAGTTGAGTGCGCTGGTATGCACGCTTCATTGTAAATTATGGATATGGGCGACAAAATATGTAATCTTTTGACTGTCATGTGTCGTTTCGCTTGTTTTTTATTCCATATATTTAATTGTCAAAATTCTAGTGCTCGTTCCGACTGATCCGACACAAACCAGTTTACCTTGGCACATACCATTTTTAAATTGCCGATTAAGTGGTGCTCATCATTGTTACTTAAATGCTTTGTGATGTTCAACGAACATCTTTATTCTCGTTTGTATGGCTATAAAATTCAGACAATCCCCAATCAAGGACCAGGGATTCTCAATCGCGTGATAGCGAGCGGTAGGGTGTGATTCTGTGCGATCGATTTTAAAATGAAAGGCTTTAGATTTTTGCACGAAAGTTTACATGTTCTCGTTCATACTCGGTACGTTACGTCTGTGGGGATTATGATAAGAGACAACAGTACACAACTAAATCAGCTATTTGATTGTACACTCGTAATGTGTTTTAGTGTGAGAACAATACCCACTAATGAATCTTGTCAATTGTACTGAATGACATTCGGGTAGTCATATTATGTAATAAGAAATTTTATCCGGAGAGCACTTCTTAGAACAATTGATTGTCCTTCCTATACCGGAAATCTAATCCTGTTCTTCTTAGATTTCAGAATGCATAATAGCATTTAAGAATGAAGACGAGAGCGTTAAAATGATTTTTCCCTTTCTTGACGTGACCACTACAAGGTCCTGATCGAACAGAGAGAGGGGGATAGGGAGGAGAGAGCATGGGTGGAGGGGAGAAGGGATTGAGTAGAGTCATGAATGTTTTTTGCGATATGCAAAAAACTAATTTGTTTTCCTGTGCTCAAAGATTTGTCTCCGAAAGGAAGTATTCACAGTGACATCAACATGTATCATTCAATGTAAGTACTACAATGAAAGAAGTGATAGGTAATTGTATTTGAAGAGCCATAGTGACAACGTTGATTAGTAGCCAATGCTGGCTCCGAATAAGTGATTTCTGAATGTTTAAGCACTATGTCTTAACCTCGTGTGTTTTTGTTTACCATTTGGTACTCGGGGTTTGTCTAATGAAAATGATGCACTGTGTCTAATACCGAGAAATAGTTAATTCCAATGTCTTACTGCTAGAGTGAGAAAAGGATAGGTCTGATATGCAGTAATGAGATTGTGTTGAGAATGATCAGCAACAAAGTGAGAAAATAGAGTGTTATAGTCATCACTAATATCATCGTGTATCTTGGATAACAAACAATGGAAGTTTTTAACGGGATCGCCGTAGGAACAAAGACTCTAACATTAAAACGTTTGTGTGCTTGTATAAGAAGGTAGATCAGAGATTTTTTTTTCTGAATTGTCTGCCTCAGCAATATTACAACCGTCCCAATACTGACAGTAAAATGTTTAAATCAAACGAATAACGGATATATATGTATATGCCCTTTTTAGCATACGTCTAGTAAGGATAACTTTTGATTTACAAAAACACGCTTAATTGTTTACGCTATTGAACCTCGTTAGTATTCCTGTTGGTTCTGTTATTGTTCACATTTAGTCATTATTTGGGGACGCGAGGTTACCTAGATTGACCATGATTTACATGATGGTATTTGTCCATGAAGCGGAGGACGCTTACCCTTCTTTAACACCTTGCTCTATTGAATTCATATTTGGATTTGGTGAAATGTTGGCATTATCTTTGATGTTTTAATAATATGTTCTATGTAGCAGATCTTATCAATCTATAATTGGTGAATATTACATGTTTATATACTCTATAAATTCAATGTTCATATGGTTAGAGTTAATTAATCTGGCACGATCCAGTTCTTTGGATAAAAGATAAGCAAGGCCTCTGTTTTGTAGGATAGAACTCAACCAACCATTTGCCTAACAAAGATTGGATATTTGAAAATTTCCGTTCAAGCAGTTGTGGAGATAGTTCGGAACATTTAAAGAGAGTTATCATCCACACAAAAAATTGATAGGCTTTATATAATATTGTGATAACATTTATACGTATGATGAACAAAACGGCACCAAGAACCTAGCGATAATCCATCAACCAGTCCAAGATCTTGCCTGATCTACCTCATTACGTGTAGCTAGTTTCAATTCCGATCGCCTTTGCCACACTTTAATGAATGTTTTTGAGATATCACAGAAAGCTAGAACAGTAGGTTTATTCCCAAGTTGTCAAATACGATAGATTTCAGTGATCTGACGAATACTGGAATGGTTGGTTGTAAATCTGACCTATACTTATATATAAAACAGAATTTTGAACGGATAATTATGAAAATCTTTAGCATTAAATCATTCCAAAGCTCTCCCGATTGAGCAAATTTAGATGGAAAGATCTTGCCTTTTTCTTTTCTAATTTTTTTTTTTTTTAATATTTTTTCTTATGTTTTTAATTCTTATTGGTATGGCTACGTCGGTTTCCATGGTGATGAGAAAGGCCTAATTTTCAAGGATATATTGTATATTAAAAACAGGATATGAGACTGTATTGTTTCTAAACCTGAGACCTGTTGTATCATGTCCTACAGCTTAACCCCATTTTTGATGCTTTGATGTCATCCATATGAACAAGTATGACCAAAGTGCGAGAGACATTACTTGATTTTTCAACAGAAATGTCAGTTTCAGTACCCGCTATAGTACATATTTGTCTTAATGTTATTTTGTCCATTTCTAAATTCCCAGTTGCACTTCTCAACGTTGTAATTGTATCTTACGTGTCAGGTAATTTAATTATTCTCTGTTAATGAGTTTCAAACGTTTCTAAGATCCCTGTAGCTGTATTTGTCTCTGTCAATGAGTTTCAAACGTTCCTAGGATCCCTGTAGCTGTATTTGTCTAAAGACTATTAGCGTCCAAATAAAACATTTCTTTCCTGATTACTGGCACGCTTTTGTTTCCTCGTGTTATATTGTGTGCGAGGAGTGTGACTTGATTTATAATTTTGAAACGACTTTACATTTTTTCATGTTTCACGTCTCGAATCCGAGTCAAACCATTGGTTGTCATCAGGTCAAACCGTAATTACTGGTTGAAAAAAAATCATACACAATTTCTTAACGTTAAGATGTAAAATGTTGATCATTTTGTTCGGGATAAGGGTTAAAGGTCACTTCATTCGATCACCTCTAGATTATAGTCAGCACCTATTGTCCGGGTAGGGGTTAAAGGTCACTTCATTTGGTCACCTCTAGATTATAGTCAGAACCTATTGTCCAGGGTAGGGGTTAAAGGTCACTTCATTCGGTCACCTCTAGATTATAGTCAGCACCTATTATCCAGGGTAGGTGTTCAAGGTCACTTCCTTCAGTCACCTCTAGCTTACAGTCAGCTACACAGATGTCAATGGAGGGTCTAAAATGCCGCGGTCTGTATCGGGACTGTCTGCATTTACGTGTCCGATAGCAGAATAGGATCAAGGAGTGTTCATCACGTGCGTCCAAAACTTTTCGGTCTGTCAATTAAATTTGTGAAGTGGAAATGATTCATAATATCCACGAGAGTGTGGT